TATTTTAAATACACAATATGTTGATTGGCAAATCAGTCATCCATAAATCATCTAAGCTAAAGTTGATTAAATATTAAGGGCAGGCACAACACTGTCCTCAACTATAATGTCACGAACCACCATGCTGATCTGTCATTACATAATATAGTTATGAGGGAAAGTCATAAACCTATTTCAAAGTGTGCTTTTCTATACACACCTGAACAACACAGAACGAGTCATTATGCCCAGTCAGTCTGGTAATGATTACAACAGGGTGTTTGGCCAAGGGTAAAGAGTGTTTGGCCAAGGGTAAAGATGAGACGGACCATAAAACATCGATGGGTCTTGCATTAGTCTCTGGTGAGCCAAGCTGGATGGCACAACAACAACTGTACTGGTAGGTGCTACAGTACTAATGAGGAAGCCACCTATGGCTTCACTGATGAGGATGTCGGGGCCTCACAGCCCCAGAGCACCAATGTGGAGCAGACACATCGAAAATAATAACTACAATAGTACAAAGGAGATTTGTCAACAGGGAGTAATTAGTGTGCAACACAGGCTTTGTCCCATCCTTTCACATATCAACAATCTGAACTGCAGAAGTCTGTGTTAACAAGACTGACATGTGCCTGCAATGACTTTGCACGTTTTGTAGAAACATGCAGCAGTGTTCTGTAAGGCTAACAAAGCGGGTAAAAGTAACAAGTTGTGCTTCTTACCAGCAATGGTAGCACTCTAGAATGACTAATGAAACACTGTTGATCTATGTATCCAAAACCTGCTTTAGCTTATTGGCATGCACACTAAGCACTACTGTTGTCCAAAAACTATGACACACACATCCTTGAGCCACACCAACACACTGGGTGGCACGCGCTTTCATTACAAAGAATACGGGTATGGTAGTGTATCTATAAATAGCCCCCCCAAACTATAACAGCGATGGCTCTGACTTTCTCTGAAGGGTAGTTTCTGTCAGAAAGGGGCTATTGCACGTTCTCATGAACATAGCTCATACTGTAAACAATCGCTGGGTTTTCTTTGCCCTTTAAACACTTTTCTCCTTCGGACCCTGTATTATGCTCACATTTTATTTTGTCCACCTTCAAGAATGCCTCCAACATTCTAGGCCTCAGATGTGCTGAGAAGTCAGGGTGGCATATGATACATGAAGTTCACCCTGTTCATTTCCACCATGCAACGCTGGCTCCAGATGGTCCCATTCACTGCAGCATCTACATTCTGCTTCAGCTAGCATCACTGAACACTGACCGCAGTTGAGCCACCAGTGTCATGTGATTCTGTTTACGATGCCCAGTGCCTCGTCTCCAGCAGACTGTTGCCCTCAGCACCTCTCTGCTTGTCTCTGTTGTATTTTCTCTTCTGACTACTCTGTCTTAAACAAGTACAGCTCCGTGAATCCATCACATCTTCTTGTGTGCCAGACTTGTCAAGAACAAGCCAGTGAAACAAGGTATGATCCACTGAAGTGCATGTCTGAGCATGTGGTGCTTTAAGAAACTACAGAGACTGTGAATGTCAGTGCTATTGTTAGTCTGTTGAGCTGTGTAAAGATGAACTATCATGATAATTTTTCTTAATGAAGAAACATGTCACCCAGTGCAATAGTGTGGTTCAATGATGTGCTGTTAATAGCTTTTGGATACAATGGAGCTCTGTGGCACAGACTAAAAAGCTAAAATCGGGCTTTGCATTCACAGACACTGCTTGTCAGGAGGATACACCGATTACTGCTTTCGCATTTTCATGGGATTTGTTGACAATAACAAATGCAGGGGGGTTTTCTACATAGAAGATGCAAATTATACCATTAACATACACCGAGATGAGTTTCAGTTGTTGTGGATCCAGTAAATAAAATGATAGTAAAGAAACTATCCTGGAATGTTTTTTTTTTTCTTGGCCCTGCTTTGTTTGTGTCTCTTTCACATTCAGGATTTGGACCTACCATTTACCCTGAATATATATCATGTTGTAGTTTGAATTTTAAATAGGCCAAACTATGCAAAAATTAGGACGGAAGTGGGTCTACAGCATTTAGGCCATGTGGGTGTCCGATTTACTGCTTAAAATGATCTCAATGGTCTAACTTAAACTGGAAATGCTGTCATTTTATTTGTACATAAACCAAACATCCGGAGAAACAAAGAAGAAGCCAGAGTTACTAGAGACAAGTAAGGAGTGAGGGAGGCCCAGCTCAGGTGAGAGGGAGCCAGAAAACAGCTTTAAACAAAAAAAAAAAAAAAAAAAAAAGAATCAGAATCTGGGGCAGCTTGCACTACTTACAATTCCTTACCAATACTCCCTCTTCTCTCCCCTGTCCACATGCATTTGCCACTACATTTGTTATGCGCCTGCATCTTCTAGTCAAATATTAAGCATTACATATCCAATTTCTAAACAAATTGTGCAAACTGATTTTAAGTCTGTTTGGCTCAGCCAAATGAGATATTCCACTGTCCTTCAGTCCCAAAATAGTCAAATGTAACCTAAATTTCTTTTCTGAAATAAACAAATAGGCTACATCAAAGTGCTACTAACCTAGATTTCCAAAATTCAGCTGTAGGTCACAAGAAACTGGGACATCATGTGAGTGGTGGTGAAACTTCATGTGTTTCTAATTATGGAAGAAATTAGTTTAAGGCCTTTCCATTTTGTTTGTCCTGAAGCAAACCTATGATGGATAATAAATGATCAATGGCCGTTGGCTGGCACTAACACTGTAGTGCCATATGCTAGAAGAACAAAGTAATAACATTACACCCAAGCTGTGGTTTGAGTACTTAAGACTCAGGCATGCTGCAGAGGCACAGATAAACATAACTGCAAATATGTAATCATTTTAGAAGCTCCAATATGCATTTCAAGTATCAAATGTATGTCAATCTGCCAATGTAATAAGACCCAAACAGTGTTCGACCATTAGGTATCTGAAACCGTTTTTACCAGTAAGCTCTTTAAAAGCAAAGTGTTGAGTGATGCAACAAAATAAACATTGGGGCACCAACAAATTTAACTAAGTAATGATGTGATCTCACAAATATTATCAACAGTATTTGCCATGCAAACAAACTCTGGCAGGTAAAGTAAACTTTGTTTGAGGTGGCAGTTATGTTCAAGGTTCAAAGAACTGTATTGTCAATTGACGTACCAGCAGCACATATGATGGCAAAAAAAAAAAAAAAAAAAAAAAGTCAGCAGCCGATTTACATAGAATGTAACAAAAAGGTTGGAGAGGTATGTGGAGGTAAACAAAAACACAATGAATGCATGTAGAGACTAAGGCTGCCCACTCAAAGTTGCATCTACAGCAGACCTTGGCACTTTACGGCCCGTGGGGCACATCCGGCCCTTTGGGCGTCCCTGTCCGGCCCGGGTGATGTCCATCCATCAGAACATGAATGAGCTTAAGATCCCCAACCTACCTGGTGAGAGACAGGTGATGTTGGCCAGCTAACCCTCAAAATGTCAATTCATGCCAAAAAAAGAAAAGCTGATACCGAATGCCGTTTTTTCAACAAGACATGGACTGGAAAGTACTTATTTACAGAAGTCAAAGGTAAAGTGGTGTGCGTCTTCAAGGATTACAATTTGAATCGCCACTACGTGACCAAACATGAGGAGAAATACAAGAACTTGTCGGATGAAGAGCGTGTAAGAGAGTCGGATGCTTTGCTGGTGAAACTGCATAACCAACAAAGACTTTTTACCAAACTTTCCACACCCAGAGATGCAGCTTTCAAGACAAGTTATATCATATCCCACAAAATCACCAGAAAAAATAAGCCGTTTTCTGACGGAGAGTTTATTAAAGAGTGTTTGTTGGACTCTGCAGCACTAATATGCCTGGAGAAAAAGGGCGCATATGAGAACGTGCCCCTCTCCCGACGCACTGTAACGAGGAGGGTTGAGGACATCGCAGGAAATCTTTGGATCTACCTACATATGTGAACAGACATTCTCAGTGATGAAGTTCAACAAATTCAGATACAGATCCTCTATCAGTGATGATCACCTCTCAGCTATCCTTTGCATATCCACCTCAGATATTCAGCCAGATTTCAATGCACTTGTTCAAGCCCAAGCCAGACTGGATTTCTCTCACTGAACAAGTAAAATGAACATAAAATGCATATCTTTACCATACTGCAAAACACCTTTTCAGTGTTATGTGAAGTTGAAAATAAAATGGAACTGTGATGTCATGTTTGTAATGTTTTTACAGTTTATTACTTCTATAGGAGTATTTTCCTGTTTGACCTACACCACAATTTCATATATTTATATAAATATTTACAGAATATGCTTATTTTTCTGATAAGCAGTAGCAGCTAATCAACACATATAATTTACTGCTTTTTACCATGGGAGATAATGAATATTAAGCAGAATTAAGATCAAGTTATCGTTGGTTTGGCCCACCAACACAGTTCAGGTTTCTCATGTGGCCCCTTGTAAAAATTAATTGCCCACCCCTGATCTACAGTATCCTCCCAGGGAACTGTAAGTTCAATAAAATACATTGTCCGGTGTGTTTGTGATCACAAAACATGGTCTGGTCTTAGGTTAGTGCCGACTATCTCCTCAGGAACTACAGTATGAGTGATTCCCTAAACCTACTTTCATTTGCCAGTCTCCCCCTGCCTTTAGCTGGCCTGCATCTTTCCTGTTCAAAATGATTTAAGTTGATGATTGACTGAAGTTGATGACTAAGTTATTATACTTGCTGAGACAATGTTTTCATCTACATGTTAGGAAACAATCGCTGTGTACAACTGCTAAGAGTGTAATACACTCTTAGCAATAGTATTAGTTCTGTTCAGACAGGGCAGAAGTGATGAGTCAGGTATTTAGGGGGTGTATGGCTATTAAAACTGCATCAAAATGCCCTCAGACCTTTACTCATCTTTGTAAACATGCACTGTTAATATTCTCAGTACATCTTTAGACAGACAGGCTACATTTAACTAATAATCTGCGGTGTGTACACTCACCCTTTCCCTGTTGTGTCTCTGCCTCTGCTCTCCTCTTATGCCATTTCTCTCTCTCGTCGTCTCTGTATGGCTACAAAAGTCTCATCTGTCTCCCTCATTCTGTCCTGTTGATATGCATTGTGTGTAGCTTTCCTAATTTTCCGGTGTTCTCTTTCCTTGAGAAAAATCTAGATCAGAAATCTGGACAAGCCAACACAAACAAAGGTTACAGGTTTACTGCAGACAACTTTAAGAGGATTGCTAATGTCACATGGAATGTTATATCTGAAGCTCTGATTAATTGATCAGTCATATCTAACTGACAGTCTTTCTAAAGAAGCCAACGTGTGTATCGATTCCAAAGTTGGAAAACCATGCACATTTTCCAGCTGAAAACACAACACTTTATGAATATCACTCACAATATAGAGTTGACCCACTCTCAAAAACAAAACAATGACATGAAAGCGCTTTATAAAAGGCCAGAGGAAGCTGAAGATCAAGGCTACTGCTGTCAGGACATTTGGTTGTCAGCTAAGATAGTTTCCTAAGGCTGAATCATAGCTCTGCCTAAAGAAAACTAGATTTTTCCCCACTAAAAATAAAAAACTACCTATACTGTCCCTTGCTTGTCTAATGTAACAGCTTTGCTTGCTGACAGTCTGGCGTACCTTGCTTTGGCAGCGAGCCTTTTTCTGCAACTGGGCCGAGTACAGTGACAACAATAAACCTCATTGACTCACTTTAACTTGTTGCCCCCTTGGCACTCACTCCAGTCACACTGTTTATGTCTATGAAAAGTTGCTTTTGTCAGTTTTCTACCAGACCTATAGCCAGAGGATTTAGGCCAAACAGTCTTAGCCATATTGATCCTTTTATTGCTTAAGTAGACACCCAACACAGAGAACATCTCCTATCAAATGTGCCTCTCCTCACTATTCCCTCTATCCTAATGCACTTGTTGCTCTTATCTGTCTTTGACACCCCTTTCTGTGAAAGCTTGCACTCATCCTGCTTCCCAAAACAATCTTCAAATGTAGCCACTGCCTATCCTTTGTTCTGGCATGACTGATCATACCCAATCAAAAGAGAGGAGGCATGAAAATGATAACTTTATACACTGCATAATATTTTACCTTCATTTTGTCTATTTCTATCTCCCTTCATGCTGTAAGAAACAAACTGGCCCTGCTTTACCTGATATCAACTTGCAACACTTGGCTTTCTTCTGCAGAAATAACAAGGCATCTTATTTTAAATTTAGATGAGCACACAATGAGTCTAAATAGAAACATGTTAACACTGTGCATCAAATATGAAAATCTGCTTCAGCTACATACATGTTGTGTGAATACGATCCACAGTCTATAATTGTAATTGTATTGGAACTCAATATAAGAAATCAGATGAAGATTCTCAACCTGCTTTCTCCCCAGTTCATTTTGCACAGACATACCCTTGTCTCTATTGCCTTGTCATACTGGCTAGAGAGCTTTGGCCTTTAGTGGATCTTGTGTGAGCAGTCAGGAAGTGTAGCCAACAGGGCAGGACGACACAACTGCTCAAACACAATTTGAACAGTTTCCCTTCTCCTCCAAGAAAAAGGCAAACTTGTGATAAACATTACAAAAGCGGGTCAACGCTCCGCCCAGTTTGGGGTCGGAAAAAAGGAGATATCGCTAACGTGACCCTGCCAAGAAGCACAGAGTAAGAACGATGTCTGATTAGTGTTAATACTTCAGGTTAGTATTTACAGAGAACGAGAGAGGGAGATCTGCCGAGAATACTGATGCAATTCGGCGATTCACTGCCAGTATAACGTTAGTAGACACACCTGTGAGATAGCGTTACATCACGATCATGGCTAACCCTGGTGACTTAACGTGCTATAAACGTTGCCTTCATTCGTACTAAAGCCTCGACACTCGCTGTATATAACGGTGCTTAAGAGCTTATAGTCTGACCACCTAAAAATAGATAGGCAAACTGGCGTTTCCAGATATATTTTAGCTAGCTAGATCGCTAGCTTAAATACTGCATACACTGGGCTCTAATATTCCTAAGGCGATTTGGCAGTACTATTCGCTACATGACCCTGGACTACATTGCTGCCAAATGTTTATTAGTGTTAAATGCTAATAAAGATTTAAATATTTCCCAGCTAAACATTTTGCTCAAGTAGGAATGACTACACCGCTAAGTGAGTGTAGCTTCTCTTGACTATCGATGCTGGATCGCGATTAATGTTAACGAGAGATGTGATCAAATGTTTCAACACAAAGCCAATGAGCACCACCAGTTAGATAACGTTACGTATCCGAACAAGGAGTGCATAATGTGCTTACCTTTCTGTCGAAATGTTGGAGGATGTGTCTTAAAACCTCTGTGGAAATCACCCCAGTGTGGTACGGAAATTTCTGTAAGTCTGTCTGGTGTTTTCATAGATGGGCGGTTCGTGACTGAAGAAGAGGGGACCGTTGTGCTGAGTTCAAGCACCACCGGAAAATATTCGAAAACCCAGTGTTGTTACAACAAAACGAGGGAATAGGGTGTAACAAGCCGCAGTAACACACTGGATGCCAAACTAAAGAACACCACAATAAGCCGCGCATTTAAAAGTATACTTCTTTGTTTTGATTGATTGTGCGACAAGACATATTTAAACTCTGAAATTGGAGCAAAGGCGGACACCGAATGCAGCAACAGTGACAACTACGCAAAAAACGCAAGGCTGGAGTAGAGAGGCCAACCCCCGTTACTCAGAAGCCATCTGTTGGTGTAAGTATAAACATGGCAAGTATTTTAAAACTGACAAACTAAACTATGTTTTGACAGTATAGCTCTAATTGTACAATAAGAAAAGGATAGATTACTACAATCACAGCAAAGTAAGTTTTTAATGTTCGAATTATTAAGCAAATTTGATCATTAGATCAGAAAACTAACACAAATGTTTATTGCATCTTTTATTTTATTATAGGACCTTTTAACAAAGTTCAAGATGAGAAAAAAAAGGTTAGCCAGCAATATAGTTGAAATCATATGACAATATTCATAAAAATATATTTTCAGGACCACTCCTATAGTTGATTTTGATTAGGGTGAGATGTGCTTTGTGTGACTTAGGCTGACGCTGCTTGCTGGCTGTCAGGGCATCTTGAGGGAAGGCTTCCAGTGAATCCACGCAGCTATCAGGCTTGGCGGTTCCCCCATGGGAAGCAGGAAAATTATAGGAAGGAAGGGGAGAGGTATAGGAGTTAGAAAGGAAGAGCAGAGGAAAGAGAAAGATTAAGCCAGAAGCACAGGTCATGATGGTTTTATGAGAAACGAAAGCACATCTGGAAGTGTGGAATATCTGTAGGCATGTGGCAGGAAAACGTGCGTGTTAAGGTGTGGTCCTGTTCCTCAACCTTCAAAATTCATCTTCATTTCCAGTATAATAAAGCAAACATCAACATAAAGGAATCAAACTGATGTTCAGTACAATCAACTGTGTTCCATCCTTATGAATTATTTCAGACAAATCCACTAATAAATATAAAGCAAAACTTTGAGTAGCTCATTTCATTAGTTTTTAATTAGAATTTGCTTCAAATCATTTTAACAGATTCTTGCAAAACAGTAGCACACATGATCAAAACCTCATGATACAATTGCACTGTTGATAAATTATTGGACAGAGTTGCATAGGGCAGCGATGGGGGATAACATTTATGAAGTCAAAGTCCTGAAAAGTCCTGTATGTAGCATGGTAAAACTGAGCTGAAATTGCAGTCTGACCTTTTTTCTTGACATTTTAATGTGTATATATATATTTACAATAATTTTGCATTTCATTCACAGTGCTTTTCATAACTGATCAGCTTATCCTGCTTGATGAAGTGGGTTGGCACATCTTGAATACTTACCAAGTACATTTTCTTCTCTTTAGTGAGCATTCACTGTCTGTAGGTGACTTTCCATCTATACCTGAATTAGTGATTCCTTCAAGTATCAGCAGTGGATCCATTTAATTAATTTCTTAGGACATAATCTGTTCAAATTGCTTTTTTCCTGTGTAAAGCAAGTAATGCTAATAAGACCTTCACAGCACATAGTTTTCTCCTACTGAAATTCCTGTTCTAGGACAGTCATAAAAAAGTACAAACAAGCACATGCTATGTAAACTCACTCCAAAATTTTTGCATCATCCTTGATTCAGCACATTATTTCATCAGTACTGACCAGATTTGCAATCCATTTCCACCTGCATCTTCTCCTAAATCACCTTTATAGTAACTTTCCTTTCTTACCTACAGCTGAGCGGCTCCAGGAAAGCAGACCAAATCACCCCAGTACTTGCTTCGCTTTATTGACTCCCACCTAACTATTCAGTGAACTGGTTTGCAGATTTCCCTGTGCAGACTAAACATAATGACTGGCATATCAAATTCTAGGTAGTTAATTAATGAATTATAGTGGACAGTAGAACTGGCAAAAACACCACAATATTCTGAATGATATTCAAATGATCTTAGATCTGCTAAAAAGAATGTTATAGTTTGGAATTGCTCCTGTTTTGTTCTTTATTTTGGTTTCATTTCCTGTTTTTTTATCACCTCAACTGCCCCAGCTTTACCCCAGTACACAATCACCACTCATTGTTTTCACCTGTTGCTCATTATTCTCTGTTCTCTAGCCCATATACAGTATTGTCCTCCTTTCCCTCAGTGTCTTGCTGGTCTATTCTGTTCACCACACCCTGCCTGTTCACATAATCTTATATATTTTGAAACTGTCTCATGTTTGTCCCTGCCCTGGCTTAGTTTGGTTTGTCCCTGCCCTGGCTTAGTTTGGTTTGTTCTTGTCCTGGCTAAATTTGGTTTGTTCTTGTCCTGGCTAAGTTTGGTTTGTCCCTGCCCCAGCTTAGTTCGGTTTGTTTCTCCAGTTTTGCTTTAGTTTCTTACCCAGCTCCCTGACCTACTGTTTAGTTTTGCTGTTTGGGATTCTTTGTTTTTTTTCCCTGTCAGGTTGAGCCTTTGTATTTTTCCCTTTAGTCTCGTCCTATATTTATTAAACTCCTACTTGAACTTTCCCTTGGCTCATGTGTCTGCACTTTGGGTCCTACCTGGTTGGTAATTCTTAACAAAAAGTATGGAATGTAAAATAGGTCTAGCAGTGTATGGCATGTTGTAGGCACAGACATAATACATTTCTAGCAAACAAAGAATAATGTATTTTCAGTGACCAATGGTGGGAAGTAACTAAGTACATTTACTCAAGTACTGTACTTAAGTGCAATTTTGTATCTGTACTTGAGTATTTTCATTTTCTATTACTTCATACTTGGACTTTACTATATTTTAGAAGCAAATACTGGCAATGGGCAAGAGGCGGGAAGTCCATGAATCTGCACAATGTTCTGCATAAAGACATTATTTTATTCTGTTTCACTAAAATGTCAGAATGCAGAATGATATTAACAAGTTCTAACACTAGCACTTATAGTTGTGATGACTGTTGGTGTGTTACATCTGAAAGCAGAGTGAAACCACTGGAGTTAGAGTATTTGTATAACTGTCAAACCACAAGTTTGTGTGATAGTAGAGAACTCACCTGTTCATATAAAGCAACCTCATAGTGCACTTAGATATGAAAAACATCACTTGTAAAAGTAAAACATTTGTTCAAGCAAACAATGAAACGGATTAGATCATAGGAGCTGGATGATTGGATACATAACAAAGTACCTTGAAATATCTGAAAAGACCTCTGTGGATTTGTCATTTTCCCTTCCTTCTGTTTAATTCTTCTTTATGAAGGTAATCTAATGGCTGTGTGAGCACAAAACATGTTTACTTTTACATGATATGCTGTGAGGAAACTGGGCTAAGCAAACAACTGGACTATACTCAGTCCTGTTTTTTGAAAACCACACACATTTCGTGTTTGGAAAAGTATTGTGGACAGCTGCTTTTCAAGCCTTGTCTTGGTTGCATCATGCTGACTTTTTTTTGTAAATTCGCCGTCTTTTATTTCTTCATAATCTTACCTAACTATGTGAATCCTGGGGATCATCTGGATATACCAGCAATTGCCAAATATTTCAACACAAAGGGAAGGTATGAGGAAGTGAAACCATATCTCATAGAGGATGTACTTGCTGTAAACCGATCTATCCTACAGCCCCCATCTGCACAATGTCAAGAAATTCATCTGACTGCCATAATAAGACATGGCACAAGATATCCGACAACCAAAAACATAAAGGAGATGCAGAAGCTTTACACCATCGTCATGCAAAATGCCTCAGGTGAAGAGAGCTGGCTGCGTGAAATCCAGACCCAATGGACGATGTGGTACACTGAGGACATGGACGGCCGACTCGTCCAGAAAGGTGTGAATGAACTGAAGCATTTGGCCGTCAGGCTGTCAAAGCTGTTTCCCTCTCTGATTTCAGAGGAGAAGCTTCGAGGTGGACTCTTCAAATTCATAACCAGCTCAAAGCACAGGTGTGTCAACAGCACACTGTCCTTTAAGGCAGGGCTGACTGAGTTGTGGGCTATTAAAGGTATGACCATAATGGTAATGATATTAGTGTATGGAGTTATTGTGTAGATGCATTTTCAATATAACTTGTTACTTTTCTTTTTTTCTACCCAGATATGAAGTTTGACCATGAAGTGAATGATGCTCTGATGAGGTTTTTTGACAAGTGTGCCAGGTTTGTGCAGGAAGTTGATAACAACCCTTCAGCTTTGGTAGAGATCAACAATTTCAAGACAGGACCAGAGATGAGGAGAGTTCAAAAGAAGATCGCAGACCGTCTTAGAGTCCCATACAGTTACATCACAGAAGGTCTTATCTTCTGAAAGACTAGCTTCTTAGGCTAAAGAATGTGTTGTATGTTTGTATTCTAATATGCTGTATTTATGTATTATCATATCTCCCAAAGGTCAGTGCATGCTGTGGTCCCATACACGGGATTTCTTAAATGACTGGCCATGACTATGTATGTTTCCCAGGTCTTACCTGTATGAAAAAAGTAATTCCCTAAATGCAGACATATTAACATACAGTATCTAATCTGTAACAGCCTAAAACAGACTGTAAAGTCAGTACATATTGATTATATGTCAAGTTTAATGCACAGTGTTAGGTTAATGTGCAGAACAGCTCAGTGATCATACTGTAGTGTTGGGGGTGAAGAGACACTTGGCAGGGTCCCCCAGAATGCTTTGGGGGAAAGCACTTGGTGGGATATCCCATAATGCCCCTCTGGGTGGGATGTATTTAGTTCGAGGTTGGCGGGGATTGTTCTGTGCAGTTGCCAGAGTGTGTAGGGGGAAAAATAAAAGAGAAAAGGGCAACTTCCTCAAGCTAGCATACATTACACTGTATTCAACACTGGGTGGAGCTGTTTTCTGATCAGGAAGTACTGATGCCTGCCACCAGGTTGTTGTGAAGCTTGTTGCATGTGTAGTAATTATGTAGGTACTCCAACATTGGGGTTACAGTTAGGTCTTTGGACTAAGACCAACTGTAGTGTCACTTTATAGAAGAAGCAGTTTTGGTGGAAGTATGTACTCTTTCACTGCTTTCTAGTGTATTTTTATTCTGGCATCTCATCTTTTTTAATGGCTTTACTTCCTGTGTAGATTCACCACCACACATCTCTACAAATCTTTCCCTTGCAGATATTGCTGAAGCTGCCTTTTACTTGTGTGCATATGAATTTGCAATCAAGGCAGTGAACTCTCCCTGGTGTCAGCTCTTCGATGAAGATGATGCAAAGGTAAAAAGGCACCAGTGCTCAACTGTATGTAAATTCAATATAGTGTCAAAATTGTCTCTTAATTGAATGATGATGTTTATAAGGCTGATCACAGTTAGCCAGGAGATACCGTATTTGTGAGTCAGAAAGGTGAAGTATTTGTGGTACACTAGTCATTCATTGAGAAAATCCTTTGAAAGAGAGTTTTGTGTTTTAAGCTGACCAAACACTCAGATAGTTGTTAACTCACATGAAATTAGTAGATTGGGCCATGTGTTAAAAGTCTTTGCGTATAGCTACATGGAGCCAAGGCAACCTCTGAGCTATCTCCACCAACAGGTTATGGAGTATGCAAGTGACCTGAGGGAATTCTGGAAAAGGGGCTATGGTTATGATATTAACAGTAAATCAAGCTGCATTCTCTTTCATGATGTGTTCAGGCGACTAGACAAGGCAGCCAGCGAGAACAAGTAAGTGATCTTTAAAGACAGCTGTACAGTAGTTTATACATTCTGAAGACCTTGGTGAAAACCTTCAGTGGAATAGATGAGAGCAGAAGTAGAATATGTCCTGTATATGTCAGATCTGGCCAGCAGGTGACTGAAGCTGTGACAGTTCAGGTCGGCCACGCAGACACTCTGCTGCCACTGCTTACCCTGCTGGGCTTCTTCAATGACAGCCAAGCCCTGACATCCACTCACTACCCCCCAACTGACCAACAGGTCTCCATGCCTCTCTATGATGATGTCAAAGAGCACTACAGGGAACTGCTCCAAGGCTGTGATTTTGAGAATGAGTGTCAGCTCTTCAAGCATCCTATTGAAGTTTAAAAAGAGACAGTAGATTCTGGAAAAAAAAGACAGAGTCATGGCTTTATTCTTTTTTTATTTGCAAAATATTCCAGCAATGAAAATGTCACTGGTTGAATAGCATTTTTTTTTTTCTACTTCATAGGTTTTAGAAAAACAAACTGATTATTTTGCTGGTTTCTAAACTGTATCCAACAGTTTCAGGAAGAACTAAAATGTTTAGTGAAGCACTAAATTAAAATTAAGAGATTTGGGGTGTTTTTTCTAGTTATTTGTTTTTAGTTATGGCAAAACAACAAAGTACTAGAAAATTGTTAAATGATTTTATAGGTTGTTATTTTGGCCATTTTACATTAGAGATATCTGAAAATTGCATTCACTTTTACCAGTTACAGTAGTTGTCTGGAACTAGCAGAGTTTGAAATAAAGCTTTGACTTGTACAATATTAATTGACTGAATCGCTGTTCTGCCAGAAAACTGACAAAAAAAATTGCTGAAGTACCTCCTGATATATACCTTCTGTGTTACAGCAAATATAGAATTACAAATGGCAAAATGGTGATGAAAATATGCAGGCTAATGACTCTTTAACAGGAAAAAAGCAACACAGTATTTCTGTGTTATGCTACTTTATACTCCACTAGAGTATAAAGGTCATGCTGTACTTGTTCCATTTAACAGCTTTAGTTACTTGTTGCTTTTAAAGTACAAAGAACACTGATTTGTTGGCTTGTGAGCCCTGGCAAAAAAACAAAAAAAAACAAAAAACAGTTGGGGCACCTTTACATAGTTGTCTATTAATTAAATAGTTCAACCAAAGAAAGATTTCCCTTCAATATCTCTAACATAGGCTATTACTTAAAAGGTACAAGACAATTATCCAATAGGTCTATGTGACACAGTACATAGGTGTGTAGAAAATTATCCTCTTTCCTCCCAGTCTGAGGATTAATTGGTAGACTAGTTGTAGATCCAATGTGTGTATCCAATCTAGCCTATAATATGACATCAATTTATGTTTTAGGACAGTCTTATTTTACTGCTATAAACGAAAACAGGTCTGTGTAACGGGTTGGTTGGACAGTCCCCATTGGACAACGTCACTCGGTTTGTCTGTTAGGTGGGGGTGCACACGACAATAGCATACAGGCTATCTGGCTACATCATGCCAATCACTTTGTGGAAAATCATTGTTGCTTATTTCACCACCATATCCGGCTTTTCCTACTGTTTCTCGAGGAATCCCGAGGACAACCCAGAAATACCAGCAATCGCCAAATATTTCAGCACGAAAGGAAGGTATGAGGAAGTGAACCCGTATCTCATAGAGGACATACTTGCTGTAAACAGATCTATCCTACAGCCCCCATCTGCACAATGTCGGCAAATCCATCTGACTGCCATAATAAGACACGGCACAAGATACCCGACAGTCAAAAACGTGAAGAAGATGCAGAAGCTTTATGGGCTTGTTAAGAGCAGCGCGTCGGGTCAAGAGAGCTGGCTGCGTGAAATCCAGACCCAATGGACGATGTGGTACACTGAGGACATGGACGGCCGACTCGTCCAGAAAGGTGTGAACGACCACAGGCATCTGGCCGTCAGGCTGTCAAAGCTGTTCCCCTCTCTGATTTCAGAGGAGAAGCTCCGAGGTGGACTCTTCAAATTCATAACCAGCTCAAAGCACAGGTGTGTCAACAGCACACTGTCCTTTAAGGCAGGACTGACTGAGCTGTGGGCTATTAAAGGTATGACAATGTTTAGATAATATTATTATGGGCTACCAGTGGGTCTAGGCATTTGCAGTAACGTGGTTTTTCTACCTTTTTCTACCAGATAAGCAATTTGACCATGAAGTGAATGATGCCCTAATGAGGTTTTTTGAGAAGTGCACCAGGTTTGTGCAGGAAGTCGATAACAACCCCTCAGCTACAACAGAGGTGGACCTGTTCAAGGAGGGACCAGAGATGAGGAGAGTCCAGGAGAAGATAGCAGACCGTCTCCGGGTCCCGTATAACAATGTCACAGATGGTCAGTGGTGGTGGAAGTACTCAGACACTTTACTTAATTTAAAAACAAAACAAACAAAAAACTATTATCTTAGGTCTATAACGTGCTAAAAACACTCAACTGCAAAAATGTCAGAGGTCAAAGGCCGATAAACATACAGAATGTACTTAGAGTACCAAATGTAAAAGTACTTGCAAAGAAGTAAAATCTCTGTGAGTGTGTTATATACAGTAGGCTATGGTCAGATCATCATGTTTGGGAGCGCTAGGCAAACATTTGCTGTCAAACATTTAATAAATGTTTAAATGCATCCATGCCTATCAACAAATTTCACATTCTTGCATGCTCAGCTGACTTGCTGTGCAATGTCTAAAAGGCTTCCAAGATTAAACCTACAGGAAATTGGAAATAATTAATAGAAAGTGTGCCAACTGATTACTTTCTACATTTTCCCAAGAATTTGTATGAAATTACATCGATCTCTCCGGAAACTTCCCAATTTATTTGCAGTTACATAATAGTTACTTTAAGGAAATGATAGAAAACCAAGGGACCTGTACGATAAAGCTTTCGCAATAAATGTATTTATACTGAAATAAACAGAGAAACACAATTAATTGATTATTGCTTAGACACCATGCATCTTTTAACTGCAAAATCTCTTGCCAGAATGGGTGTGTGTAAAACACTGGTCATATTTGGCAGTAACTATCTGTTACTATCTGGAGTTGTCTTCTAATGTGGAAATATAAAAGCTTCTGCACCAGTAATTTGATGATCTTATTCAGTGTTCACACAGTTACGTATTTGTGACCTTGAATTAATGTCACAGACCTCAAAACCAATGCAATAATTAAGTTATACACTCCATAAGTTTTAGAATTGGGTGCTTTCATCTGTGTTAATGGCAACCTGGCCTGTATGAATTCACTTCTTATTCAGATTTTATTCCAACCTCTCTCCTATAGATATGGCTGAAGCTGCATTTTACATGTGTGCTTATGAGTTTGCCATCAAGACCGTGAACTCCCCCTGGTGTCGGCTCTTTGATGAGGTTGATGCACAGGTATGGGCCTCAGCTACTTCATGAGAGTAGATTCATTTGTCTCTTTTACAAAACAAACTAATAAAAGTAAATGAGAGGGGAGAAACATTTCAAAGGCCAAGGACTCCAGCCTTACCTACAGTTCATTTCTAACAAGTATTAAGTAATAATTTCTCTGCTCTGCCACAGCATCCATTCATTGAGAAACTGGCACGTTCCGTGTCACAAAGACTGTCTTGTGTTGCAATTTGCACCTCACATTACGAAGGGCGGACTGACAGATTGCTTTGTCTTTTTAGTATGTATAAAAAGCCCACCCATCACCCAGACTATTAATAATTTCTCCTTACTGGTTCAACAGGTTATGGAGTATGCAAATGATCTGAAGCAATACTGGAAAAGAGGTTATGGCCATGATATTAACAGCAAATCAAGCTGCATTCTTTTCCATGATGTGTTCAGTCGCCTGGACAAGGCAGCCAGCGAGAACAAGTAAGTGATCTTTAAAGACAGCTGTACAGTAGTTTATACATTCTGAAGACCTTGGTGAAAACCTTCAGTGGAATAGATGAGAGCAGAAGCAGAATATGTCCTGTATATGTCAGATCTGGCCAGCAGGTGACTGAAGCTGTGACGGTTCAGTCGACTGGACAAGGCAGCCAGTGGGAACAAGTGGGTAAACATATATGGTCTTAAATACATAAACAAGAGTCGTTAGTGGTGTTACTCTAGATGTTACTCTAGATTTTTCCTATTGTCAAGAAAATCCCACAACAAAAGAACAAAACCAACAAAGCCTTAGTGATGACCTCAATAGTTTCTCAAGTTCTTGTTTAGGCTTTGGCTCTCTGCCCTGAGACATTTGTTCTGAAAGAAGTAAAACTGTCTGGGCATTTGCAAAGGACTCCAAATAAACTACAGTTCCTATATCAGTCAGTGAAGCAGTGCGGCTCACTGGTGCATATTTAATACTTTTCGACAACAATGTGGGTCCATTGAATAAACTGATTTTGGATGCACACATAACACTTGAGAGGGAGAACATTTTATTTTATTTTATGTTATGTGTTCACATAAAAAAATGTCTTGAACCACATTTCTTACTCTGTTTATTCAGTTTTACTTTTCATCAGACAAAAACACCAGACACTGTTCCTAGTTTCGATGATTTTGTTTTTCAAATGAAATTTGTGGGTTTTTAACTGTTGGTTGGACACAACAAAATACTTGAGGACCTCATCTTCAACTCTGGGATCAGTAATGGACAACTTAATATTTTGTACTGGACCACAGCTGTTCCCTGGACAGTAGCAAATCTCATAGATCTAAAATGGTTGACTAAATGTAGTAATGAGTCTGAGTGAATATATAATACTACAGTGAGGAATGTATAGAGAATAGGTCAACTTGTTAAACTGACAAAAGCCCAACATGCAATGCTACATACTGTATATCTTCAGTGATTGATCAGTTGTGACATTTGTTGGCAGTTAACTTTCTGGCAATAAACTGATCAATTAATTGACTAATTGCTTTTGCTTTTGCATTAACATCTACACCGCCTAGTTTTTTTTTTGTTTGTTTGTTTTCCAGACTTGTATCTGGTAGTGAAAACTAAGCTGTCTGGATAATTTACTTTGACATTTTTTAAATATTCTTCATTCTGTTTTAGACCCAACAGTGATGTGGTATATGCTGTATGTCAGATCTGGCCAGCAGGTGACTGAAGCTGTGACAGTTCAGGTCGGCCATGCAGAGACGCTGCTGCCACTGCTTACCCTGCTGGGCTTCTTCAATGACAGCCAAGCCCTGACATCAACTAACTACGCCACACAGAGCCAACGTTCCTTCCGCACCAGCCACATGTTGCCCTACGCAGCTAATTTACTCATGGTGCTGTACGACTGTGGGGGAGACGAGCTGAGACTGCAGCCGCTGCTCAACGAGAAGCCTGTCACCTTCCCCGGTCTGACTGACCAACAGGTCTCCATGCCTCTCTATGATGATGTCAAAGAGCACTACAGGGAACTGCTCCAAGGCTGTGATTTTGAGAATGAGTGTCAGCTCTTCAAGCATCCTATTGAAGTTTAAAAAGAGACAGTAGATTCTGGAAAAAAAGACAGAGTCATGGCTTTATTCTTTTTTATTTGCAAAATATTCCAGCAATGAAAATGTCACTGGTTGAATAAGATTTTTTTATGTTCTGCTTCATAAGTTTTTAAAAACCTTACACTGACTATTTTGCTGGTTTCTAGACTTATACAACAGTTTCAGGAAGAACTAAAATGTTCTGTTGTTCAAGCATCCTGTTAAAGTTTAGACAGACAGATTCTATTAAAAAACATTATAGCTTTACTGTGCTTTATTTGCAAAATAGAGTGGAAATGGTTTCTAATGGGAACATCTTGGTCTGGATGCTTCTCATATCTAAAATATGAACCTATTACTCTTTGACCTAGCATTCTGTCTGAGTGAATCATCAAGGAAGCATTTTCACTTCCTTTATTTTCTGCCCGAGAAAAGGCAGATTTAGTGTCTCTGAAACACCCTATGTTCACCTATACCATTACAGTATTACAACAGCTTTATCGCTTATGTTTGCAAGGTTTCTTTCCACTGTTGCATAACACTGAGCAGAAATTAAAGAATTTATTTTTGCAGTGTAGCTATTTTATATGATTGTCATATGATTTTATATAGCTACAGTATGGGCCTTATCTTATTGTTTTTTTGTTTTTCAACAAGAAAGCTTTTTTTTAACTGTATGTATGTTTTTCAACATTTGAATAACTCTGCATTAAGAACCTGCTGTCATTATCCCCAGAGGCCTCCTGTTTTAGGACATTTATTTTATAGATATTTCCTGTCTCATGCTACCTTCACAGGCCCCAGATTGACTCAGCTCCCTGTCTGTGCCTCTCCACCTGTGATCCTCTCCTGTGTTACTAACCCCTGCTTTTGTTTGGACTCTGCCCCTTGTCGCTTGTTGTATTTTGTGATCTGCTATTTAATGGACCTGTGTGTCACTGCACTCAGTCTACTCACATTATTTATTCTATTTGTTCTAATTCCTGTTATGTTGGTCACCCTTTTTTCTTAGTTGAAATATTGCTCCCTGAAAGTACACAATTATTGTAGTACTCCTCTTGTTGCCACTTTTGTTATTTGATGTTTTGTTCAGGTTGAGCTTTGCCTTGTTTTATGTACAGTATCATTTAGACTTTATTGGCCCTTGTGTCATTATAGTTATGCATGTTTCTGGAGTTGTTTGATCATCTCCTTTAATCTGCCTCTGCTTTACGTACTGTGTACTTGTCTTATGTTTCCTGTTTGTGGAGGATTTCCCGTATCCTGTTCACTATTTGCTATCATCATTTAATTAATCTTTGCCACTACACCCCTGTTTGGTTTCTTCATTTGGGTTTGCATAGCATAAATAACACATGCTTCATAGCTGTCCTTATATCGATTCCTGTAGTTTTTGAGTAACACTTTCTAAAAAGGCACCCTTTATACAAAGTTATACTGTAAGTTGTCATTAATGTGTTTGCTAATGAGTAATCATTTAATGATTATTTGCAGATCAATTATAAGACAATTAAAACTTCTGGTTTTCCATGTTGTCTTTTTATTGATATTTATACCTGCAGACCAGGTGAATTAAAACTGTGTATGGATGGTTTACTCACACTTACAACTGCAGACCTGATGATTTATTAGGATGTGAGAACCCCATTTAATTAACATAACTGTCTGATATCACAGAGAAAAATAAGCACTTTCCAAAGTGCTTTTTCACAACATGGCAATTCATATGATGTTCTCATGGGTTATATCTGCTATATGAAGTCAATTAATTATTAACCATCTACATTAGTTACAGATAGTAACACTTGATAAAGGGTATCCTGTTAGAAAGTACACCTTCTTGGTAACAATATGAATATGAATAAAGAGATAATGTACCTTTCGTGAGACACAGACATACAGTGCATACATGATCATTTAACTTTCATATTTGATGCAACACTGAAGGAAACTGACTGACCTTTAACAGTTAACAGCTCTCCACAAAGAATGCCCTTGCAAGGTGTTCTTTATAAAGGACACTGACAAAGTTAGATATTTAGGGGATCGGTTCCTCATTTAATATTTTGCTACATAACATCATTTTGTGTAAAATAATAAGTAGTATGTAATGGTGGGTGGGTGCTGAAAGAATCCTCAAGGTTTATGAGGTTACAGCATTGTGCATTAATAGACTATTTCTGAATGTATTTCACCATGAAATAATTTGCTGAACATGAGTAATTTATTTTTGACATTTTAACATTTCAAAGAGAGGTTTCAGTTTGTTTTTTTTCCAGTTCTGCTCAATGTAAGCTTCTTTTGGGGCGTCTACAGCCTGGCTTCTGCTTCAGCACAGAGGGTGCATTTGTTTTAATCCCCACGTAGCACGAATGGGTGGTGGATTGGCAGTCGCTCCGTGTTAACAAGATACAGTGGCGTAAACGTTGGGGTGCAGTATTCCAGCGAAAAACAAAACAAGGGCTCTGGGATTTGTAAAAGAACATGGGATATGAATGCTCGTTGTATCGGACTAAGAGGTTTCAGTGAATGAGAGGTTCGACCTACCACTGTTGCTAACTTCGTCTGAAGAAACAGGAACATGTCCAGACAGAACAGAGAAATGTTGCTTCCCTACAACTTAGCTAACAGTGAGTGTAAATAACGTTATTGTTAGCCTAATGTTACAACCTCGGTCACAGTAGTGACTTAAAGCTGGGGTGGTAAACGGCTCAAACATTTTTATAACCATAGTTAAGATTGTCAGTAACGTTAGTCTCCAAGAAGCAAAATGATATAAGTAGGAAAACTAAACTAATAATTCATAAAGAATAACTGCCAAAGTCCATTCAATATGCTATAACGTGTTAAGGGAATGTATTGACCAACTTCAGTCACGGTCATGCCCCGGTTTAACTAGATGCTCGCCTCCGTCATGTCGTTATGCGTGGGTATTGGCTGTGCAAGGCAAATTATGCAGATTTCTGGGGAGGAGGGCTGAAGGCTGGGCCAAAGGAATGCTACGTGTCTTGGAAGTCCCTTTTAACCCCCCCTCATCTTCTTCAGTTAATATTACCGTAGCGAAAAAGTTTGAAGGTTCCAGATTAAGCGGCAGCCTCCCTCCCCATCCAGACCTGTCTGTGTCTGTGTGAAGTACAGTGGTCAGCAGTCAGTCGGCGGTGTTAGTACAGCGAAATGTCCGGCGTGAAAAGGCTTCGCACGGTAAGTAGATAACTGCCCGGGAGAAATGACTGAAACCAAAACTGTCATCAGATTAGCGTTACATGTTTCTGCAGCGAAGGATGTGCGAGATGTAAAACATTTCTCTAGTATGTGTCAAAAAAGTTTTGATTAATACACAACAGTAACACAGATGATCAGCTGTGAGCTCCACCGAGGTTTGAGGTGGTCACACATGACAATCAATTTAAAACAAGACAATTGTTATCTACTTTCATTCAGGTTAACTCTAAAATGTGGGATTTAGAGCTAATTTTCTACAATGATCACTCTTTACCGTACCACCAGCCAAGGGCGTATGTTTGCATATAGTATCTGAATAAACGCGTTCACATTATCTTTGGAATGAAGTCATGTTGGCTCGTTCCGTTGCGCCCTCCCTGAGGCTACATCTACAAGAGGACGTGCTAGCATCCGACTGACTAAAGGGAACGGGGGCGATCCGAAGTTCACGTAACGTACAAATGTCATATTTGTTCAGACACACGGAGGAGGAGAGGAGGCGTTCGCCGGCGGTCACTGCGTTCACAAGGGTGTGTTATTAGGGCTTTCGGTCCATACCTCAAGCATGGGGGAAAATGTAGTCATTCGGATGACTCTAGTGCCTTGGACTCCACAGCGCACATAACTTTGTGCATGCGGCGTCTTTTCCTTTCTAGATAACATTATTTCACTGAAAAGATAAAGAGACGGGAGTTTTTCGCTTGTTGTGGGTCGAACAGTTCAACAGTAAACTGGAACTCGCTGTAAAAAAATTCAGTCATTGCATTGTCTTCACATTTGTAATTTGATAGTTTTCATTGTAAAGAAAAACGTTTATAGTTGCTTTGAGATTTGAATTGAGTTTACAGGGTGTTCCAAGTACTTTCTCTTTATTACAGAGTTCACACTTGACTAAAGAGATACAGTATCTGGAACCATCACCAGGTTGCTCCACAGGATTTTAATTTTCAAGGTTGCAATTTAAATTGGTCTGCTCAGTTGATTTGTTGCATTGCACATATTGGTTTTTATTTGGTGGTTAGGAAGGACCCTGACCCACAGGGGCCGTTGGGGGGAAGTCTAAGGGCCCACGAACTTTGGGGGCCCACAGTCTGTGGGTAGAGGGCCCAACTTCAAATTTTTTCATAGGGCCCAAAACTGCTAGCACCGCCCCTGCCCTGACCTGTTCTGTCTTCCAGGACCAGAGGTAGTCTGTATGGTAGTGTTGACACTGTTGTTGCGCCTGGAAAACGTCACACTTGCATCTGTCTTATTATTTCCCATTGAGTCTGGACAAGCAAACTACTCTTACCTCGGGCTATTATTAGTTGTTTAGTGAAACTAACATTCAAAACGTGTTTGGTATGTTCTTCCTATGCTTGCGTGTCACAGGGAAAACATGCAACTGTGCTTAAGAAGGCACCAGCTGGTGCTCAAACCTAGGACTTTTTGTTGTGAAGCAACAGTGCTAACCACTCCAGTAATATGATATAACATTAATGTTAAATGCGCCATTCTGTACAAGTGCTTTAGCCTTTTTTTTTAATTACTTTTTCTTTTTTTAATGCTAATACTTTTGAACTTTGAATTAACATTCTGAATGCAGGACTTTTACTTGTAGAGTTTTTATACTGTTGCTACTTTTACTTAAGTACTTCTTCCACCACTGGCAGTCATGTGTCATAGATCAGCCTGCTGTTTCATATTGTTTCACATTTCATACCAACTAAACAGGTTATGTTAATTACAATAAGTAAAATTAACCTGAGGTAAAACTGCTTTGGTTGCATAAGCACAGTGGGAAATAAAACAGACATCTCATGGGTTTCAGCAGCTACAATGCAGACTACCTCTGGTCCTGGAAGACAGAGCAGGTCAGGGACCTGCCTAGCCACCAATTAGAAAAAATATATATATATATACAACAAAAATCTGTTAAACTGAACAAACCAATATGATATAAAACCTTGAAAATGAAAAGATTGGATCAACTTGGTGATGGCTCGAGATACCGGATCTCTTTAGTCAAGTAAATTCTGTATTAAAGACAAAAAACTTTGAGCCCCTTCAAATCTTAAACAGTATTATATGAAATTATATCACATCAAAAAGGTGAAAACACTGCAATAACGTGAAAAAGTCTCATAGTGAGTTCAAACTGTTCGACCCACAACTCCCTTATGTGTCACATACGATAACGGGATGACCCAAATGCAGCACACTGTCAGGTTAGTTGGTAGTGAGAGGCTTTAATGGCAACATTACAGGTATAGATAGTACAGGATCATGGTGGAGGTGAAGGCAGGAAGCAGACCACAGGACCAGTCTCTGTTTGATGTTCCTCAGGTGGTCTCCCATCCAGATACTGGCCAGGACCAGCTGTTCTATGTCCCTACCACTGTGAGACCAAATCTGCGCCCTTGGTTACAAGCATGCTTTGCCTCTGAATAGGTTGGTTGTTGTAGTAATGTATCCATGTCAATCTGGCCCATTCATAACACAGGGTTTCTTGTTAGGGGAGGGGTCAGGCCAGACTGCTGCTTAGAGAATGTAGCCTGTGTAGAGTTATCCTGAGAGCTAGAAATCAGTCGGCAAACCTCAGTGTGTCTTTGTCCAGTAACTGTAAGTTTTTGTCCCTGAAAGCTGCATTTTGTAGATACACTACTGCTACTGTGACACTGAGTCAACTAAATGTGATTCTCAGGAACTATTTTGATAACTAAACATTTTATGCAAAAATATGGAACATTTGCTGTATCCTGCTTTTAAATGTATTTTCTGCTTTTCTGTTTGTTTGTTTATCATTGTAAATTTTTTTTTTTTAGTCTTGCACCATTGTCTGGACATCTGGCATTTTACTGATATACTCGATTATAAAAAAAATAACATGTAGCTGTTTTTAATGCATAGCGTGGTGTCCGTTATTTAGTTACCTAAAGTGTTTGTATTATTATAAGGATGGCTAAATGCCTTTACTATTTCCATGCTTGTATGAAAGCCTTCAGTTGAGAAATTTCATAACATTGTTATCATAGTTTTAGATGCTGTCATTTCCTGAGAAAGAGGATGTACTGAGGAAATGGTTACATGGGGTCTCCTCAGTTCTTAATAATAATAATAATAAGCATTTACAGACCTTTTTTTATACAGGAATGCAGTTGAAAGTGCTTATCAGCTGAATGCGAAATGAAATAAGGGAAGAGCTAAGATGGATTAAAATACAATAGGATGAATAATATGGAGTGAAGTAATGGTTTTGGCTAAATTAATTTCTTTGAATAAAAAAGCAGGTTATCTGTAAACCTAGCAAATTTATGGAATAGCTGCTTCACTAGTAAGACATAAAGCTTAACTTAGAATAACGTGGTGAGCTACACACATCCTCAGCTGAAACACACCTTTATGTGTGATGTGTCAAGGTCACTGATTTTTACACTCTTGCCTCTCGTGTGTGTGTGTGTATGATGAAGAGCTCTTTAAATGTGGATTGCCACATGGAGCATGAAACACTGTGACGTTAAATAGCAGGCTCTAGCATGTAAAATTACTGTAACACTGGGTGTAGGTTTAGAAGTAGGAAGATTGGGTAGTGACTGAGAAGAGGAGGAGGGGGAATGAGTATGCAAAAAGCAAAGCTGTGTGATGAATATAGGGAAGATGGGTGAGTGAGTGCAGAGGGTGAATGTGTGTTCACAAGCATTGCCACATCATTGCTGGGCTGCAGGCAGTACACTGGACACATTGTCCAGCCAATCCCCCCCCCCATGCCTCCCTCCTCTACCCTTTCCCTTTAGAAGTCAGTACAACCCCATTTATTCACATCTTGGTTCACGTAGTCACTTAGAACAGGACAGGGAAAACCAGTTGTGCTGTGCAAAGGTTGGTTGTAATTCCAGTGTAAACTCACTAGATGACAGTGAGTCTTATAGGATCTGGCCTGAAGCTCTCTCCTGCTTGCACTCTCCTGCTTGCATATTTGCTACATCAAGCTGTCTGTATCATAAGTGATTCTCCAGATCCACTTTAGTTTGCCTGCGTCTGAGTGTGTATTCATCTACTGCAGAATCTCAACAGGGCGACCAATGTGGTGTACCAGGACCACCATGTCAGCCGGAGCAAGAGAGGGCAGGTCGTGGGCACCAGGGGAGGCTTCAGAGGTTGTACCATCTGGCTTACTGGTAAGCCTATATAGTGTCATATGATATCCACATATTGGCCATGAGGTGACCCACTCCTCTGTCACATCAAACCATACATTTGACAAGGTTTAATCCGATATGGGCTATTTTAAACACAATGCCTCTTGCAGCTCACCTTTGTGCTTCGATGTCTTGTATTTTCCCACAAGGTTTGTCTGGAGCTGGGAAGACGACCATTAGCTTTGCCCTGGAAGAATACCTCATGTCCCATGCTATCCCTTGCTACTCCCTGGACGGAGACAACATTCGCCATGGCCTGAACAAGGATCTGGGCTTCTCTGCCAAGGACCGTGAAGAGAACATCCGTCGTGTTGCTGAGTTGGCCAAACTGTTTGCTGACGCTGGGCTTGTTTGCATCACCAGTTTCATCTCTCCTTTTTCCAAGGTCAGAAAACATTAGCAGATGCATGTTACACACCTTTTCCTTTAAACAGCTACAAAATGAAAATGAATACTAGTCATTAAAGTCAAAAGTATCAGCCATCTAGAATACACGGTGTCACCTAAAACTGTATTTAAATTAAATATGTACTATTTTCTTCCACAGGATCGTGAGGATGCAAGGAAGATTCACGCAAGTGCTGGGCTACCATTTTTTGAGGTGTTTGTCCATGCTTCTCTTGAAGTGTGTGAGAGCAGAGATGTCAAAGGACTCTACAAGAGGGCTCGTGCTGGAGAGATCAAAGGTCTGTGTGACAGTGGTCACCTCAGCAAAATTCTGCCACTGTGTTGCATGCAACCACTCCGAGTTACACAAGTACTGGCAAGCCCTTTTTATAATTATAGGGCGGTTCATTTCTTCTTAAGAGTATACTGTATCTTATAAAAGTAAAATGGAATATAGGCTGAAGTATTTTATTGACACTTGCTTTTATGCTTTTACATTTGTTGCCAGGTTTTACTGGGATTGATTCAGATTATGAGCATCCTGAGGTGCCACAGCTTGTACTGAAAACTGGAGAGCTGTCAGTGAATGAATGCCTCCACCAAATGTTGGAGCTGCTCAGGGACCAGGTTGGTGGCTGGCAATAATTTTGGTTTTCTCTGCTGAAGACCTTCAAACAAACCCTCACATTTTTGTTGGAAAGTAACGCAACATATTGTACCTGTTGTGTCTCATACAGGCCTTCGTTTGTGTCATTTTACATTTCTGTAGATAGTAATGTGCTTTGTCAGATTTTACAGTCTGACAATAAGCCAGTAATGTTCACCTTTCACAGATGAGAACAAATAAAACAAGACATTGACCCAAATAACATCTATAAATATACAAAAAACTCTAAAAATATTTTCAGTTTGCCATTGTGGGTTATTGAGTGTAGACTGATGGGCAAATATTTGATTCATTTAAAATTAAATCTGAATATTACCTGACGACACTGTAGAATAAATACAAATGCATGTGAAGGGCAAACAGTAGCACACTTCTGCTGCCAAGGCTCTGCTGAAGGAAAAGTTGCTGATAAAGGAAATGTGTAAACTCATAAACGTTTTACAGCCTTTTCACTGAGACACAAGTGCTTTACTTTTAAATAAAACAGTGCTGTGTCAACAGACCAGGTTTGTTAGAAGCCTTCCTCAAGTTGGCCTCATGTCCTCTACGACTTTGTAGATGGTAGTTAGTTTTACAAATTACTCTTGGGAGTCCTGTCCTTCTGAATTCCATAGTACCTACTTGGAAAATGAATGCACATATAACAGCACCAGATTGTCATTGAGATGTACATATATCTGAATATATTTACAAGCAGCTGTTGAGAGTTTCAAACACATTTAAAAAAGAAATTGAGGTTTGTGACTGTATAGCACTTCAGTCACAGAGTAGAAGCAGAAAATAAAATGACGCTGGTAGTTCAGGAACATACTGTATATTTGCATGCAAATAATTGTGTTGCTTAATAAGTGACTCAAGGAAAAGTTGTGTCATTCTGTATCACAGCAGGTTTCCACGAAGGACGGTAATTTCCACATATCTGTCGTGTACACAGGGCAAACTGAGTTGTCTGAATGAATGAATGTCACTATTTCTTTCTCTGTGTGGGAGGATGAGTGTACTGTAATAAAAATGACAGTTTTACTTAAGTTTTTGTATCTGTCCCACAACCTGCTAATCAAGCAAAAATTCTGAACATTTTCTGGTCCCAGCTTCTCAAATGTGGAGTTGTAAAAGGTTTTGAACTGTTGATCAGACAAAACAAACAAGAAGATATCACTTTGGACTGAAACACTGTGACAGGCATTTATAACTTTTTAAAAACATTTTATTGGCCAAATGTTTAATTGATTAGTCAAGAAATGTATCATTAATTTTATCAGTATTAAAAAAATGTTAGTTATAGTTCTGCATTATCAGCCTTATCCAACTATAATATGAATTCCCCTTTTCTTTTTTTTAATAGAATATCATACCAAGTGAGATCATGGAGGAGGTGAATGAACTCTTTCTTTCAGAGAACACACTGAATCTAGCCATGGCTGACGCAAACACGCTTCCTACCATCAGTATCACCAAGGTAACCCACCACTCTAGAGTATAAGCTTAATATTTAATCACAAGGGGACAAGGAGGTCAATACTGGACATGGCAGAGAGCTGGATATGATGAGCTCATAAACATTCTTCAATCTTTGGAGCCTGTGTACTAATGACCTGCTCTGACTTCCCTGGGTACTAATAAAACCATAAAAGCCTATCTAGGCAGAGGGCAGTGTGTCTGAGGTACCGAAATGCACAAGATTGGCTTAGCAAATTACCATTCAGGTCAGTTCCCTAGAGATGAATGAACAAAAGCAGAATAGCTGTTTGTGTTTTAACTACTTGTTCTTTACCTATAAGCCCAAATCAGAAAAATTTGGGCCGGTATGTAAAATCAAAATTAAAACTGAAAATAATCTGTGTCAAAATAAACACTCACTTCAGTTCTGATGCTTGCAACACATTCCACGGGGGACAGTTGTATGTGTGAGAAAGTTATTGAAAGGTTTAACAGCAATGTTTATCAATGAAAGATAGGAAGGGAATTGGATATGTCACCCTCTGCAAAGTATAATATAATTACAAGATTCAAGGAAAATGGAGGGGGTGGCACAGTGGTCCAGTCCCCACCTGTGCCCAGTAGAGAACGTGTGGCACATTTTGAAACACAAATTGCGTCAACGAAGATCCAAAACATTGATTCTTCCATTCCTAGCGTAATTAGAGACTTGTTTATTAGTTTATCAACTTTTACAATACGCTGAATACCATCAGTGTAGTTACATTCAGTTATATGAAGTGTTAAATATTGTGTATATGTCTTTTTGTGCTGCTCATAATGAGTCATTATTCCTTGTTTACAGTTGGATCTACAGTGGGTGCAGGTGTTGGCAGAGGGCTGGGCTAGCCCTCTGAAGGGCTTCATGAGAGAGAAGGAGTTCCTGCAGGTTTTACACTTTGGCAGCCTGTTGGATGGTAAGAGATGTCCACACTGTAAACCACACTGGCCTATAAAGCAGCATCAACCAGATGAGCTGCTTGTTCTCTTTCAATTTAAGAATCAAAGCAACAGGTTTTATTACAGACCTTATTAATTTTATTAATCATTAATAAAAGTGAATAATTAAATTGAATGTATTTTTTTTTTTTTCAAATTAGTTGCACCTCTGCACAATCTTATCACTTTTCCCCTGGCATCTTTCCCAATGAATGGGAATTAATGCTCTAAGTTCTTATCCCCAAACATAAATGCAAACTTGCTTACTAATAGCATTTCTTAAATAATATTCGCTTTTGTTCACTGATTGAGATCACTGCAACCTCTTCTGTCTTAGGTGGGGCCATCAACATGTCCATTCCCATCGTCCTGCCCGTGAGCACTGAGACCAAGCAGGAGCTGGACGGGTGCGTGGCTGTAGCTCTGGAGTACCAGGGTTCACGAGTGGCTATTCTCAGGAACCCAGAGTTCTACATACACCGCAAGGAGGAACGCTGTGCCAGACAGTGGGGCACCACTTGTCCACAACACCCTTACATTAAGGTAGTGGCATTCATCAGATGTCTTTAACACAGATGCACAGTTGTAAATTGAATGTCTATCGCATGATTAGCACCTACATCATCCATTACTTTGTGAATTTGTGGCAAACACAACATCAGTCAAGCCCCAGACAAATATGATATTATAAGCTTGGTTCAAAGGCAATAAAGATTAATATTAATTTTGGTTACAGCTAAATTTTATTTTCTGTTTATCGCCTTGTCCAGATGGTTATGGAAGGAGGTGATTGGTTGGTGGGTGGTGACCTGGAGGTGCTGGAGCGAATCAAATGGAACGATGGGCTTGACCAGTACCGCCTTACTCCACAGGAGCTCAAGCAGAGGTTCAAAGACATGGAAGCAGGTTATAAAATTTAAATTACTTACAAAATTACTGCAACAATCAGGGAGCATAAAATGGCATACCATTTGTTTTAAGTAGCTACTGATGTGACACTCTATCGCAGCTAGAGATACAATAAATAAACATAAAAAGGAAAGCAGTGTGTTTAGTAGTTTTTTGTTTTTTGGAAGAACTTGACAAAGGACTGAATGAAAAAAAAATTATAGTAAATTTAAGGCTGCATGGCATTGTTTGTGATTTGTGCACAGAGTTCAGCAGAGACATACTGTACAGTAAAAGTCATGAAAATGAAGTGTAATCATCCATTTTACTCTCACTCGCTCACTGTGATATGAATGATGAGCTCAAGATAATGATGTTGACTCACTTACACCCCAATCCCATATGTGTTTTGCTAGTTTTAAGATTTTTTTGTTTGTTTTGTTTAGTTTTTTGCTGCTTTGTGGTTACAGGTGCAAGTATGTTTTGATGTGGACTTAACTGATTAACCCTCCTGTTATGTTGCGGGTCAAATTGACCCACGAACATAACTGCTGAGCAGGCATCACCTGAGAATTGAACATAACAGGAGGGTTCAGTTATGTTCGTGGGTCAATTTGACCCACAACATAACAGGAGGGTTAAACTGACAATATTCTCTTATTGTTAGCAAACCCCATGAAAAGTGACACCAGTGTGTTTGTCCGTCTCTCATACCCATGC